CGGAGGTGGCCCCGCCGGGCACTCGGGCGGTGGGGCCGGAACCCCAGCGGCCCCCAACGGGAGTTTGTGGTGGGGGCAGCGATGTCTGGGATGGGAAATCGCGACTGTTTTGGGGGAGCCTCAGGCAGTGAGGTTGTCGAAGCGAGATCCTGGAGGAGATGGGGCATCAAGGACTCCTCGGTCCGTGCTCAACGCTCCCACACTCGCTCCCTGCCGCCCGCTTCCCTTCCTCCACTCGCAGGAGTTTGCAGCCTTGCCGGAGAAGGAGAGAAGGCATGTACTGGGGGAGGGGCTGGCCTGAGGGTTTGGCAGCGGGGTTGTGGGTGAGTTTCCGAGTTTGGAATAGGGTGTGATTGTTGTTTAGGGGAGAGGGAGGCTGACTGTGTGCGGGAGGACCCCTCTCTGCCCTCACCCAGACCTTTGGAATGAAAGGGGTGGTAGTGCCCTCATCTCCTGGTAGCCTGTTGCAGGGATGGCAGAGGGACAGTCTTTATTTAGAGAGGCTACGGGGATCAACTGAAAAGCCAGAGGTGGGATTACGTGGTGGGAGACCCTTCCCCCATACAGTACTTTTCCCTCGCTGCGGTCCCTCAGGGACCTGTGCACCCTGGTAGGGGCTGGAGGGCTGGGGCTGGAGGTGGGAGCCTTTGCAGTCTTTAGAGAGGGCCATTGTTGGGGAAGGGAGAAGAAGGCAGCGCTGAACCTACAGATACAGGCCGTGGGAAGGCTCCTCCACATCTGGAAAGGCCTAGAATTGAGGCCCACGTTCCAGCTTGGTGGGCGGTGCTGGCACTCTTGAGCCCCGCCTGGGCAGCGTCTTCTGCCATGAACTTTTGGAAACGGTTTTAAAACCCCTGGAGCCTGTTTTTGCCAATGAGGGCAGGGGCAGATGGCCCCTGGGGACAGGATGGAGAGGAAGTGGCTGGGAAGAAGGTTGAGTGAAGCAGTGGGCAGAGCCATTCTTGGGGCTGGGCCTTGGCCTTCTCTAGACTCTGGTCTGCGGCTGAAGGATCAGGGTTTGGGAGGGACTTGAGGTCTAGGAGGCACTGGGAATGGTAATGAATGGGACGAGGCTCCAGCTGTGGGACTGGTGATGCCTGGAGAGAGCAAGGGGACCAGGACTCAAGGGAGGGAGGTCAGAGGCATAAAGGCCCAGGAGCCTGACTGTGGAAGAGGGAGGTGACAGGAGCTCCTGGGGTTCAGAGTGAAGAGTTCTTGGACAGGACTGCTGGGAGCCAGGCGTGATGGCCAGTATGGACAGTGCCTGGAGTGAGGGCCAGGATGGGATGGCTACAGTTGGTTGGATAGTTACAGAGCTCTGAAGCTATTCCCTTGGGGACTCAGAGTGCTCTTTAAGGGTCATGTGTTCCCCTGGACAGTGTCTGCCCCTTCCTCTGCCGGTATGAGCCAGATGCTAGAATGTGCTTCCCGGGGGCTGGGAATGTGGCCAGAAACAGGTCCTTGGGAGCAGTGGTCTAGGTCAATGGTGGTGGGAGTTAACTAGGCAGGGGACTGACACATGGGAGGTGGCTGAGGCAGAATATCATGGGAGGAGTGGTGGGAAACCTGCTCACTCTGGATTCTGTTCCCAGCAGTTCTAGAGATTGACAGCTGAGGACATGGGGACTGATAGAAACAGGCGTCTGACTGGAGGGCTGTGTATTCTTGCTTATGATTCTTGATAGTGGCAGAGGTTTGGGTTCAGAGTAGTGTAGAATGTAGAGAAGAACTGATATTTGTTGTGTGCTACATGACAGGTGTTATTAGATTTTTTTCTGTAAACTATTGTTACTCCCATTTTTTTAGATAGAGAAATGGAGGCAGCAAAGTTCAGTAATTTGTGCAGGGTAGTGTACCTAGAAAATCATGCTAAGGTTTGAAACATGGTCTCATGCCAAAGATCATGCTTCTCATGAAATATTTTGAAGAGCCAGGCTTTCTTTGGTGACCTTTTCCAAATGCCAGCCAGACCAAAGTTTGTACTCCTGATCTCTTTCCAGATGGTGTCATTAGTGATATTGAGAGGTTGAAGGGCATGCAGCTCTGTGGGATACAGAAGGGAAACTGACAGAATTGACTGAGGGTTAATCAGGGATGCAGGTTTTGGGGTATATAGAGGACTCTCCTGCCTGCTTTCTGCTTTGCAGGGCCCTGGGTGTCTGCTTGGAGTGCTGCTTGTCTGTCTTAGCATCTGGTTCTATGGCCACCTGGGGCAGGCTCTGGGTACACTCCCCTCTTGTTTCCTAGTGAGTACATATGTCAGTGCTGCTAGCTCAGCAGGCCTAAGTACCAGGGGCCCCTCAGGGTGCCCTGTGGGCATGGAGCAGTGTCACTGAGGTGGGGACACAGGCATTATGGATGACAGTGTTTTTGTGTCCACCTACTACATGTCAAAGCCATTGTTAGGGATCTTCCCATCACAGTTCAAGGCACGTCCCTCCAGGAAAGCTGGGATCTGAGAATGATTTGGTTACCCTGGATCTCTGTAACTTGGTGCAACCGTATAAAACTGCCATGTGCCTTGGTTTTTGTTTTGTTTTGTTTTCTGTATCCCAGATGGCCACAGGGACAGCATCACAGGATATTGGTGAAGATTAGATGGATTTAGGCATATAAAAAAAACCTTGAAGATTGGCATGGTGGCATACACCTATTATCTTTGGAAGGCTGAGGCAGGAGGATTACCCGGGCTACATAGTGAGTTCAAGGTCAGCCTAAACTACAAAGTGAGACCCTATCTCAAAAAAAAAAAAAAAAAAAAAAAAAAAAAGAGACCTGGAAAAGGTTAAGAAACATACAAAGTATGTGGCACTATTATCCATCTATCCTGCAACCATCCATCTACTCAGCAAATTTTTGGATCCTATAAATTATTGTAGATACTGCAGGGAGCAAAACAGCCCCAAATCCCTGCCTTCATGAAGTTGATATTCCAGTTAGGAGAAACATGAACAAATAAGAAAAAAATGTATAGAATTGACAGTTACTGCCCAGAGCTGTGGAGAAGTAAGTATAAAGCTGGAAAGAGAGCTAGGGAGTCCCAGGAAGTAGAGTTGCTATTTTAACTGGTGTTCAGAGAAAGCTTTACTGACAAGGAGATGTTTGGGGCTGGAGGAGCTCTTATTGTAGACTGGAGAATAGCAACCACCAGGGCCTCAGGTTGGCCTCAGTTGGTATACTGGGGACAGCAGAGGCTAATGTGACGACGAATACTGAGGAAGATGAAGAGTCAGTATTGTCCTTATTAGTCACTATTTCACTCTAGCTGCTCTCCACTCGTGTCCTCAAGCTGACTTGTTTCCCGTTTTAACACGCACTTACCAAGGTCCTATAGTAAGCCAGGCCCAGTCCACGGCTGCAGAGGTAAGATGCTGGACAAAATAGAAAAAAATCCCTCCCTCACAAAGCTCAGAATAAGAGGGACCGAGATATACATTAAACAAGGAGCAGTTTAATTTGAATTGTAATGAGTGCCATGAAGGAAATGTACAGAGGTAAATGGCACCAAACTTAGTCTGGGCCGGGAGCTAGGAAATTATCCCTGAGGAAGTTAAACTTCAGCTGTGACCTGAGGGAGAAGTCGAATTTAGCTTGATGGCATGTACAGTGTGTGCGTGTGTGCATGTGTGTGTGTGTGTGTGTGTGTGTGTGTGTGTGTGTGTGTG